GCACTTCCGTAACTAACGCCTGTGGAACTACGATCCTCCTCAGGTACGTGGGGCCGAAATCGAAGACCAACACACGCTGTTCGATGGCGAGTTTATCCCACATCGTCCACAAGCACCGGGCCTCGTAGCTTTTCCCTTCCATTTCTTTCGGAGCTGGTTTGTCCCTTCCCGAGCGCCGTTCGTGGTAGATAAGTGATATATCTGGGTCCGAAGCCCGTGCCTCTTGCCAACGGCCATACTCGGCTTTTTGTAGGTTGACTAGCGCTACGTGTTGCGTAATGCAGGAAGGACAGTTTCCGTAATCTCGAGACGGAATCCTCGATAGCGCGTCCGCGTTGCCATGTAGTTTCCCAGGCCGACGGTGACATTCGAAATCATACTCCTGTAGCTGCTCCTGCCATCGAGCAATCTGCCCCTCAAGGTCCCTGAAGTTTTGCAACCACCTGAGTGATTGGTGATCAGATCGTACCAAGAATTTTCTTCCTAAAAGGTAGTGCTGATTTTGTTTTATGAAAAACACCAACACCAACATTTCTTTCCTTGTCATACAGTAATTTCTTTCTCTTGACGTAAGGTTTCTACTACTGTATGAAACCACTCTCTCTATGCCATCCCGCCCTTATTGTGACAAAACCGCTCCAATGGCTTGATCGCTGGCATCTGTGTCCAAGATAAACTCCCCAGCGTGTGGTGACAAGTCGGGGAAGATTAACATCGGGGCGGTACACAGAGACTCACGCAATCGATCGAAGTTCGTTTGACATTCGACAGTCGAATCGAAATTGCGATTATTCTGCAATAACGCGTTTAAAGGGGGCTGCGACTTCCGAAAACCCTTTTATGAATCGACGGTAGTATGATGCCAGTCCTAAGTAACTGCAGAACTCCTCGGCATTATTGGGAATTGGCCACGCCTTTATCTGATCTGCCTTGCGCGGATCTGTCCGGATGCCTGCTCTGGAGATGATGTGTCCGAGATAGGTAACTTCTTCTTGTAGTAAGCGACATTTTTTTGGTTGGTGTTTCAAACCTACTTTGAGTAGACACGTTAACACTTCAGCTAGATTGCTTAGATGTTCCTCCTTCGTTCTCCCATGTATGATGACATCGTCCAGATAGACGAGACACTTGGGAGGAATTAAATCCTGAAGCACTTTCTGTATAAGGCGTTAAATGTTGCAGGAGCGTTGGATAGGCCGAAAGACATTGTTTGAAACTCATAAAGGCCTGATGGGACTACAAAGGCTGTCTTCGCTCGATCACTCTCTTCAACCTCCACTTGCCAATAACCAGACACCAAATCTAACGTGCTGAAATAAGCTGATCCTCCGAGCGCGTCGAAAAGGTCATCAATTCTGAGCAGTGGGTATGCATCTTTCCGTGTGACTTCGTTTAGCCGCCTATAATCAACACATAGCCTAAAACCACCGTCTTTCTTCTTTACCAAGACGACTGGGGATGCCCATGGAGAAGTAGAGAGTCGTATAACTTCCTTTTTCAACATCTCGCCTATGATCTTTTGCAGCTCGCCTTGCCAGTGCACTGGGATCCGTCATGGGTGATTCTTAATCGGGGTCGTGTTCCCAGTGTCGATTAGGTGTTTCACGACGCTGGTGCGGCCCAGGTCTCCTGTCTGCCAGGCGAATGCATCAGAGTGGGCTAGCAACACTTCTTTGAGCCTCGTTAACTTTGAAGTACCTGAGAAATTCCCCCGCTAGTCCATACTCGACATGCAACAATCCACTCGGTCGTGTAGCAGTTTATGTGAAAGGCCATCTTGAGTTCGCTCGGAGAAGTAGGAATGCATCAGGGCTGCTTAGTCCTCCTTTCTCTTGAACTATGTGACTGAAATGATCAGGAACTACTCTCTCTCTCTCTCTCTCTCTCTCCTGTCTCCTACTGCCTCTAATAGGGTCGAACGTTTGCTTGGTGACCGATCGTCCTAACTGGAGTACGTCAACGACACAGCTCTCATTGGGTTGAACCTTACGGTCACACAAGTCTTTCTGAATGGGCTTATGCGCAGCGCCGCGTGCTTCGAACCTTTAAGTTACAAAGTAGTGCAACAGAATTGGGTCAATTCGTAACGAGTGCTCAATATCCATGGGAAACTGCTTATTTACTTCACTTTACTGCGTCTAGGTCCTACGACAAGAGGAGCCAGCTTGATGAATGTCACGGATTGCAGCTGCCCAAGCGACAAGCTCCACGCAGACACTGATCCAAGGATTCCTCCAGTGACGAGCATCATGCACAATCTGGAATCCCAGAAGATCGACATTCGATTTAATAAATGCGAGCCATCTTTTCAATTGATCACCACGGCGAGAACAGCAACGCTGGCAAGGTGAGGGCGAAACCACGGCCTTAGTGAAGCCAGTGTCTGATCCGCGGACGACGTGACCGAACTATTGAAATCTGCAGCGTTGTAGGAGCGCTGAGAGCTTCAGAAGACCGAAACAGCGCTAAGGAACTTCGTCATTGGTGATACGCTCATAACACTGCGTTTTCAAGATAAGCCTTAGACACCAATGGTCGAAGACTTACAGCTTCTGGGTGCCTTCGGATCGTAGTGGCCATCTTTCACAACCATAGAGTAAAATGGCACGAAGGGTTGTTGAGAATACTGTGAGTTTCCTTCGCATACTAATTTCCGTCCCTCGCCATAATGTGTTTCTCAGTTGTAAGAAGTCTGTTCTGGAGATGCCAATACGATTCCGGATGTAGCCCGATCATTGGGGAGAATAGTAGATTCACGGTACTTGAATTCAGGAACAAACTCGATACGTCCATGTAAGGAGAACGACAAGGCAGACAGGGTGGCCGACGAAGAGTACTTCACGTTGCCCATGTTAATATCGAGGCCGGTCATAGAGGTTGATTGATCGATCTGATTTAGCAGTGACCGTAGTGAGGTAGGATCTTCTTCAAGGATAGCGATAGCGTTAGCAAATTCTAGGTCGGACAGTCAAAAGTCGGGGCAAACTTGAACACGACGATAGCCGATCAAGGGCATAATGCATAACCCGGTTGATCGCGAAATTGAATAGCAGTAGATAAAGTGGGCAACCCTGCCGGACTCCAGTATCGATATCGGATTCCGTTGTTTCTTCTCCATAGACCCGAATCTGTGCCTTCGTACAACGGTAGTTTGATCTCATCGAGTTAGCGAGTGTAACCGGCACGCCATGGGCAAGTAGGATTCTCCAGAGTGCTTCACGGTCAACTAAGTCAAAGACAGCTCGAAAATCAATGGACCAAACGTGGGCTGCTGCAACAGGTAGCGGTGTTCAAGTATCTGACGTAGATTGTAGATTTGGTCAGTGCAGCTTCCGCCTGGACGAAAGCCACCTGGATTAGGGCGAGTTCGCAGGTTCCTCTCATTGGCAAAGCGAAAAAGCAAGATCCGTGCGAAGGTTTTCGAAGTCACGTCAATAAGGATAATGCCGCGACAATTACTGCGCACAGTTCGGTCACATTTCTTGGGAAAGTGCAGTAACAGTGAGGTACTCCATGAGGAAGGATATATCGAGCAGAAGAGCTCGTGCAAATGGTCAAGGAGGGCTGGTAGACAGGACTTGTAGATTTCCGCTGGAATCTTGTCCGCTTCAGGAGCTTTCTTCGGCTTCAAGCGACGAATGATATCTGTAACTTCTGTGGGAGTTGATAGTCAGCAATCCGAGTCAGATCCTGACTGGGCTAATGCCGAAATGGGTGCGCTTGTGTGTAGTGGTCGATTTAGGAGGTTATTAAAATACTCCACTCATCTGGAATGTTTTTCTTCCGTAGCATGGATGATTTGGCTAGCGTTTGTCGAAAGCTAAACGGAGGAGACGAAAAAGACTACTCAGATTGCCAGAATTTGATGCAGCCTCCATGTCGTCAGCGATAACAGACCAGTAGCGGTTGCGATCATTCCGTGCTGAGCGGGTTGCCTTAAGTGACGGTAATCTGTGGAGTTCATGAAACGTGGTTCTTTCGATTTAGCGAACTGGGAAACTACTCCAAGTCTGTGATCGAGTTAACTGTAGTGACAGCTCTATCACCTCTGGATATCATGTCACTGAAGGGGGTTACAACACGGATGGTTAAGGACCCTGCGGTTTTCAAATCCTAGATCACTTATGCAGACGGCGAGATGTTAGCTTGGGGGATAGATTTATAACGTTTGGTGCGACCGTTGAGGGATGAGGACGCCATGTGGCTTACAGCGCTCGACCACCGATGTTTATGAAATATTCTCCATATCCACCGTTAGAACCAGGTGAGTAATAGGAAAGCTCATTGGAGTGTCTGGTGAACTTGAACAGCCTCCACCAGTCCAGTCATGTGTTTCGCATGTCAGCCGACAGACTACCAAGGTGTGTATACTTTGCTAAGACTGCCTCCAGCAGGGTTAAACCCTGAGATGGCCAGCCAACGACATGGCAAAAGAGCGTGAAGAGAATCACTTGATGGTTTAGTCGTTTTGGTGCTTATCAGACAAATTTCTCGTGACCGACCAACTCACTGGTTGGACGCCTTACATCACAGGTAGCAGTCAGAGAGTCAGTGACGCTTTAGTATTCGTTCTTCTATTTTTGACCTTCGGTTGTTTCAACTGAAGGTTTGATTATTCCTCATCCCTTAGCTCTTTTTATGACTATCTCAGTGGTGTGACTTGTCAAGGCCACCGGATCCACAACAGTCCGGAGGGTGGATCAAGGTTGATAAACTGTCCTGAGTGAAGGTGGTGAGAGACAGTCATTATCGTGACTGCGATTATCTTGAGAACTGCAAACAAAAAGTACCATGAAAGGAAAACCAACATCATGTAGCCATAGTTGTAGTCCATACTCACAGACACGTGTCCATCCGAGTCTGGTGCAAACGGTTCCCCGTGTGCTCGATCGAGACATAGCATGAACTGCGTCACACGGGCGACCGTGTGAGGAATAGGAGTTAACTATTAAAGTATCCCGATAACAAGAGGAATAACACAAGCCAGTGATTGATTCGTTCAACGTTTTTCGGTGCCTATATGGTGTTGAGCTGCATTACAATAGGAGAAACAAGGAAGCTGCCAGTTAAAACTTCTGGTAAAATGTCATGACAGAAAAACGGCTGAAAAACTATTGCAGCTAACTCCCATCCGTCCCGATAACTCGAAGCGTTTGATGCATTGCAAAACAAGGTAGCAAATTAAAAAAGTGCTAGTAACACGTTTGTCTCTAATTTCTGATACCAATAGGAACGTGGTCCAAGGGGAGGGTAGTCAGGTCATAGGGAGTGAATAGATCGAACAAGGTGTAAACCTGGAAAAACCGGGACCATGAAACTTGCAAATGATACTATGTGACCACCAGGACTTGGAAGTAACAGATACAGCGTCGTGGGCATAATCAACTACGGAAGTGCAAGTGGTAGTTGAACCAATAGCTGCCGGAATGTGTGTGTGTGTGCGGCGAAGCTGTGTGCATGTTTATTGTTGTATCTGTGCGTACGACAGTGACGTTAAAATATCATAATTTGTTGCCGTGGAGGGGTAGATGAAACATCTGAGCCACCAGGGTGCTGCGCAAAAGAAGAGCAAAAGAATCATATGGCAATTTTCAGATAGAAGTACTTTTAACAAGCAGTAAAGGGGCATTAATGAGTAAACGGATCCAACAATGAGCGAAAACATCACAATCGAAACACGGACCGGGATAAAAATTGATGCTGTAGCCACAGAATAGCGACAAGGAAAGTGAGACAATGTTAACTAGCGTACTACGATTCGTCGCTGTAAGGTTGGGAAATAAAAGCAGGCAAACAGACAGTGAGCATCAACAGAATGAAGATAAGGAGTATCTGCCACTGTGAGAAGCTGATCCACTTCACTTAGTTGAGTATAGTTACCATGAGTTGCACTGCTAGGACATTTAGATGAAAAACGACAAGCAAGAGAAAAGTGGTGAAGGGACTTAGGGGACAAATCCATTGAAAAATAAGGTAGAAAAAATAAGAGGTAATTTTCTAGTGAATACGCGAGAAGAAAACGATCGTAGAAAGCACCAAACTTCGCAACCACTAGTATGACAAATCCTGAAAATGACAAGCACTAGCTCAGCGAAGTACCCTTTTCGGCTTGTTTCCGACAAGTCGTAGATCTCAGGTCTAATGCAAACAGGTAGAGGGCACGAAAATAATTGTGGTCAAGGCAGATGACTATGCATGTCACGAATGTATTTAAGTATAGGTTCTTCATTTTGGCATTTTTAGCCACTGCAAAGTAGGAAGCTTTCAATATACGGTTTCACGCTAAATCTGCGCTTCCTGTTTTCGTCCATCGGGCTACGGGCCATACATAACAACGGCCAAGTCAAGAGATGTGGTTCAGGCGCAAAAGGTATTCCGATGAAGTATAGAGTTTGTTGTCAAATACCAACTGACGGACTTCGGCACATCTCAATTGGGACTCGTACCGGCATTGGGCAAGTTCATATAAATAGCCATAATCCTGGACGACCAGTGGCTGCGATTTCAGCCAACACAATGTAGCATCGGTAGGATCCAAGCCTAGTGCATTACACTCTTGACTGTTAAACGAATATCCCGTGGTCTTCACAGATGGCTCTGACAAGCCACATACATCATTTCGATACGCACATCAACGTTATCGCGGATGTGGCCCCCAGAATAAATACAGATAGCAAATTAAGAAAAGCGATTTGGAGCATCAAGTGGAGTGTGTGTCCATACGTGAAAGAACAGTTTGCAATTTCGATGCAAATGGACGTGCCCAAGACGTCTATTCAGGAGCGTAGCGCAGTGTAGGACAGTTCCTATGCAAAGATACATGTGGCGTAAATCACTGGACTGAAGCTCCGTTCTAAAAGAAATGCATATCACCAACAAGGTTGTGAGTGCCTCAATAGCAGAGAAAGAAGAACAGAAAATAATAAAATAGTACGAAACCGTACATTACAATCCGCTTTGAATAGGGATAGATCATCGGAAAAATTGTAGCCCAACAACAGAGTGCGTACTGCGATTCAAACGCAAGACCTGTACACAAAAACCAAACGATAACAACATATCGACCGCTGTGCTAAGGCGCTACACGCGGATCTCGATATTGAGCCAGTGGTACTACAAAATCTTTGTATCGGGTGTAGTATAAGTAATCAAAATGACAAGTCTGTTGTAAAATAAACTGTGGTGCAACTTCAGACTGCGTATCGCAATACAGACAGATAGGTATTGGAATGAGACACAAAATGGATCAATTCGTATTTTGTGTGGAACGCGTCCCACAGGGTACAAAGCAATAACTAACTCACTGAACCATAGCTTATCTGGAACCTTAAAAGCAGCGAGAACCACTGCAACATTGTCGGGTGATTCAGCAGCCCCTAGCCAGATTCATATTTGGTCCTGTTACCCCAGCCCTCGACCGGACAAAACTACCAGGACTTCATGCATTGCAGGTTTTCATTTAATTACTCAGTGAAATAGTATATCGGCTGCCATGCCAGAAGCCTCGGCATGTGGCGCTATCAGTGGTCCTCGCCCCAGACGCTAAATGATAAAGATGAACCTGTTGAAAACCAGAAGAAAATTTCGTTTATGCATCGATCACAATAAAACCAGACGGTCCATTAGGCGTGACCTAAAACAGAGGCTACGTGTGGACAAGGAAATCTGGTGGACTGAAGAAATGGAGAGGGCAGGAGAGGTGGGTAATTAGCGCAACTGATCCACACCAGTTGTCGCAGAAACATGCGTCAGTGAGGTAAGTAAGGACAGTATCGGTGCACTTATTCCAAATAAAAAACACTACCTTGCTCGTTGGGCGGAGCAATTCCGAGAGAAATTCCTTTGGTCCACAGCGGGGGCACTAATCACTAAAATGATTGCTGTTGGTTTGTCCCACCATCCAAGCTGGAGTGCACTTGACCCATCATGTGCTTGACTCCTGACTTTACGGGACATTGTTCACAGCTGGCATCAGTGAGGTATCTGTTGCTTCTTCTAGGTCGGAATGCCTTGTTAACTCGTCAGATGATGAGTAATTGGCAGGTTAGTGCCGATTACGGTGCAGGGTGGCAAAAGCCGCAAGGAAACTGTCAGGCTGATACCAGCTTGTCCTCGCTCTGTGATCGCATTTGCTTAACAAGGTGCAGGTGCCTTAACTAGACGTCTGTCTAGGATGTTCCGGTTTTACAATAGGTCCCTCCTCCCTTGTTGTCATTGGTCATTTCTTAGGTTAATCTAGTTGCATTAAAGCGAAGTTGTTGATGATGATCGCCAGAAATAATGGCCCAACAGATGTTTACATTAGAAAGGATATCTCACATGGTATACGATAAATCCGCTTTCGAAGCGAACGCGATGCCCAATCCTAACGGCTAACAGATGATTGGCGGCTACGCAAGCGACAATTCGGAATTCGAAAGAATGGATTCTACCGATAATGTATGAGTAATGATGCATTCTTAACAATTTGTTGACGAGTCTGCCTGACTCTGATAATCAACTGAGGGTCAAAGTTTCTCTTTTCCTGATGTAAGTTATCCACAAAATTTCAGCATAATAGATACGCGTTATTCTAGTGTTGGACTCAACCAATTACAACATACGGTACAGTGGGTGTATTTCTGTCGGATCTCGCATGTTACCAAGGTTGCATAAAGAATTCAGAACTGCGGTTTTACGAGAACTGTTGCGCAAATAGTATGAATGATTTGATGACGCGAACTATGTTCAATAGGATTCCGCATACCGAGAGCTGCCAATCCATAAGTACAACAGAGATCCCTTTCTATGTCATCAAAGAGTGATATATCGAGTTCATAAATACAAACAAGATTCGTCAAAGCTACTGTCCTTCCTATGACCTCTAAACTGCGATCTTTTTCATAATCAATTAGGGAATGGTTTCTGATGGAGAAGAGGTAGTGATCTATAGAGTGGTCAGTGTAAAGATGGCTGGCTGATAAGTGAGTGAATGTCAATAACCCCAATTTGACCCCAACAGCACGCGTCAAACACCCCGTCCCAAGTAGGTACATGATGGCTGAGTAATGCATTAATAAAATAGCGGTTCAGGTCTAGTATAGTACAGAAATACTATCCATGAGTAATAGAAAATTTTGATTGCAATTGACTTGTTTTTTGATTCGTGGAAAACGATCCCACAGCAAGTAACCAACAATTCCAATTCAGGATACAATAGCATAGGGCTGCAGGCTTTGGCGTGTGCTTCGCGGTTTCAATGTGCAAATCGGCGATGGAGGTCTGCCAGCAAACTGCCAGCTCATATGATTACCGAAGATCGAGTCGAAGTTGCTGTCTGGTTCGTTAACGTAGGCAGACGTACAAGTTATGGAGGAAAAACCGCTGAACAAGCATGTTCGATCTTTCAAAATTATTGTAGCTGCCGAAGTGGCGAGGTGGCACTCTATTGGTGTGCAAAAATGAAGCGGGGTCTTTCATGATCGTTGGGCACACTGATAGTTGCGTTGAAGTATGTCAGCCGGCGCACGGTAACAAAACCGTTGGTGCAGCACAGGATGGCCCGTGGGGGAATTACATGCTGACTACGCCACATTCTTCTCCATAGCTGCCTACTGGCTATCACGGTACGCGTGGTTTTCTACTGCTATACCAGATCAGGCGAGTTCTCGGAATGGACACCTGATGACATGGAGAAAAATCGGTCAGAGGATTACATTGGGCTGGTTTGTGTTGTCGTTCCGGACAAGAGCTTCGTAATCAGCTATATCATTGGTTGGAAACCCTGGTGGACGTGACCCACTTGGTCCCCAATGATCTTGAGATTTAAACCCACTAACTTCTTTTTATTTCCCTCTGCCTTAGCAGGAAAGCTAACACTGTAGTGACGCACGATGTATAGCTGGAAACGTTTCGCCGCACATTTTCAACTGAGTACTGCAAACTGTGTACATATAGCGTCGTGAAATTAATGCGGTCGAAACAGTAAATTGATCAAACTGTACACGCATATACACATGTCATTATGGCATCTGTTCCTGGCCCAGTAAGACGGCAGATCCATGGCCATAAATGTGCCATTCTGAACACACAGGGTTGGGCAAAATTTGACAACTGTGTTACGGCTAGTTGGCGCCTAGATAACAAGGAACGTATGCAAATGGTCCAAAAAATGTTTGTTCATCAGCAGGTGGCGGGAGATTGATAAGACTAACAGATTGTATGGAACTGCAGCTTATTTCACCGGCCGCGCATTCGGACTGGTGAACGCAGCTAAGTACGAAACGTGTTTGCTATCCTACGCCGGTATGTGATCCGCGACCGGCACCCGAAATTGTCCTTCTGTCATGCCCACGTAACCGACCTTGGAATAACATGTAGTAGTACAGAACATGTGACAGCGACATGGGGATTTAACAGGTGTATATGAGTGTCACTTGAGGATTGTATGCGTCGCTGAAGCAGTTATCATACGTCGTCTCCACTGAAAGGTAATTGCAAAGTTAATTTCGATTTCGGTACTTTCTTTACAATCGGCTGAGCGATGAAGGTGAGTATTCATTTTCTATGGGAGTACGGGTTATTATTAGTGCATATTTTCCTGGCCACGGTGGTGATGTGCGCAATCGGGAGCGTCCCCACGTTGTGGGTCGCGGGATGCCATCCTTGTGGAGGTAGCTGAGAATAAGCCTCATTCGCTTAGAAAACCAGATGAATAAGCAGTCGCGGACAATCAGCGACAGCGTTTCAGAGCCTAGAGAGTTCTAGGCTGGTCAGCTAACTCACCAGTGAACACCAAAAGAAATAGAATGGTGTTGTGTCAAAGCCAATGCGACAAGCTATAGAGCAAACTGACCACCATATCCGTAACCAAGTCATCAACTAAGGGCGGATGATCATCCGCGATGGTGGCCGACTCCTGCGTGGACCGTCATCGAAGACGCATGAGCCATCTGGCTGTCAAAGATTGTCGTATTCAGCGGCGGGTTCGGTGTTACAGGAAACATTTTCTGGCTTCCGTGTTACTATACTCGAGCTATTCTGGCAACCTGACTAGTTTGTTACTGCTCGAAAGTTGTGTCATCCGGACATTGGTTACCCGCTCCCGACGGCTCGCATTATATGTCAACCACCCCGCTAACTTGCGCGTCAAGTTTTTATGACCGGACGGCATCCCCTATGGCAACCTTCTTCTTCCGCCTGGACAATCGTGAAGCAGTATCCTCACTCAACACAAGGGGACATGCGCCTACGATACCCTAATCTCTAGCTTCGCACTCTGCCTTCATTTTCCTCGGTCGACGTGCTAGTGTACGGCTCCACAAAACCTTGCTCCAGTGCACCAATTCCTACATGCTATATTCTAAGTTTGTTAAACTCACTATTCTCGATAACCCCCCTCTGATGCGGAGTTGCTAACAATGCGCCACCTTGAGTGACAGTTCTAATCATTTCGATGAGCAGTTCAAGATCGATTGTGTGCCACTCAATCGTGCGGACAGGACGTTTCTAACCCCCCGTTCGCACTTAAAGTTGATCATGCTCACTCATCAGATGCTCAGGCAGAGAGGATCGCATGATTCATTTGCTCGCCTCTGGAAACCCTCAACATCAATAGCTGTTGCCTCGCTGAAACCCATTTATAGGATTCCATAACAACCCTACGGCTGACGTCACCTCTGTGCTCCCATGGCACATTCACAGTACATTAATCCGGATACGAAACTTCTGAAGCCGAGGAACAGGCTAGTGTGGGAATCGCGTTAAGTGCACGCGCAGAAGCAGCGGTAATTGACTGCGCCCTAGCTAACAGTTAACTCTTCGCAATTCGTCTAAAGAGTACAGTTACGATGTCACCAAGCACTGTCTGTGTATTAGAGACCTAGATTCCCATGGATTGCAGTTCGGACTCTACTAAGGCTGGTTCACCAGCGGTTCTCCAACCTTCACCACGAAAGGTGCCGCGCGGATATCGTGGTGTTTGCCGGCAGACCCGAAGCCGCTTAACGCGAACTCCGTGGTTAGCATAATGATGGTACTATTAGGACAGGTAACGCTGATCGCCTTCTACAGCTCTGTGCCGATCACGGCTTATTCCCGTCGAGCACTAATTTTCGGTGATCCTAGAACCACCGTGTCACTTGGTGTCTCCCTTCGCCTGTAGTGGTGGACGCAGACAGACCATATTGCCAATACCTGCCGTTGGTGGATCCTCGTGACGAAACACAAAGCAATTTGGTGTACCTGTTTCACTTCGGATCACGAGCTTGTGTGCTAAAGTTGCCCTACATTCGACACCGTCGCGAGAAACAGCTTTATATAGCCAAACTTGATGCTCGCAACATTCCCAGCGCCTTTCAAGACGTGTTGGTCTTTAACCTGAAGTCTTAAACTTCAAAATGTCGAGGTGAATTGGGTAAGTATCCGAGGTCCTAAGTATCAGTCGACCACCGTCGTCTGCAATTTCACTGGACTCATCACCAACAAATGGGTTTCCGCAAGTTTTGTTCAACTTGGGGAAGCCCACCGAACAATCCGTTGGGGTTAGGCACAATCAGCTGCGCAGAGCTATCAACACCAGGCTCATATTTCTACTCGGGGAAGGTAGTGAAGCCTAGTGGACGTAGCGTGTTAACGAGATGGAACAAGTTAGGCATGCGGATAGTGCATACGCAAAGAAGCTAGAGTTCCCCCAGATCAGAGCTTCATTGATCACATCTTGACGATCTGTCGAGTTTTCAGTTGACTGATCATTGTTTGCCTCCTGAACATATGTGCTACATCCGACTTACTGGACAAAGCCAGCCTCTGGAGTTGCTTACTGAGGAGGAGCTTGTCAACGTCCTCCAAGCGATCTATACTTCAACGCCGGATCCCGTGCAGGCATACGGTGGCCAATCGCAATCCTTCGATGTCACCAGTGATGTGGGACATGATCACTGCGCATCACCCTTCTTGTTCAACCTCGCTATGGATGACGTTTTAGAGAGTGCTCTGGAAAACTGCTGACACAGCGGCGTCGATTCATTCCCGGATTATCGACTTTGTTGAATGGAGTATGCTGACGAAGTAGCCGTAATCTGTGACTCATCGGTGGCTTTCTAAGACATGCTACGCGAGTTGGAGATGTTTATTCCGTTAGAAGCGGTCTATAATTTCGTTTGCCTCGGAAGTTGAACTAATGCGCGTGGACTGATACATGAGATAAATTAGTGCATCTCCGAAGCAATAATAGTTTATGCTAACCTTCGACACTTCTGGTGCCGATGTAATTGCGATCGTTCACTGAAAGGCCCAGTCCTTAACGCTACGGTACGAACAGTGCTCTTGCATGAGACCTGGTTCGTTCGTGTGAGCGATATTCAAAGAGTGTATAGTTTTGATTACCGCTGCCTCTCGAGCATCGCTGGTGTATGTTGGAAGCACCGCATTAGTAATGAGGTTGTTCGCAGAGAGACTCTGCTTGTGCTCCGGTGATTCGGGCACGTGTTTCGTATACCTGCTCCAAGGTTGTTCACCATACGCTTACTTCGCAAATCCCAGTGTTGACTGAAACGGCAGGAAGATGGCGAAAACACGGCTTGGGTCGTGGTGCTAAGGAATTGACATTACAGTTGACCGAAGTGAAGCATCCCCGAGTTCTGAATTGGGGGCCCTAGAGCAGCGAGCACACTTGGTTGGAAGCGCTATCGGATGCAGCCCGGAATCGTATCCTGTGACGAGTGTTGTAAGATTCTCTTCTCCTGACTGGCATTTCTCCCTCCTTTTTATTGTTTTGACTTATGTGCCGTGTCACTTCACCAATTGTATTTTGATCAAGAGTTGAGTATACATATAGTTTTTCCTCGTTCTGTTGAACAGAGACTGTACTATGCCTTGCTTGTACAGCTTAGGGACAAAGCTATGGAAGTTCAAGTGCCGTCCCTTTCAATGTCGGCTTGTGGTGCACGGACCTGCGTGTTGTACCGCTACTCCTGCGCGCCATTAGGATACTACTGCTGCTGCTGCTTGAAAACAGCACTTAACACCCGAGGTACCTAAGAAAAGAAGTCGGTCTAATTCCGAGACTGGAATGCCCATTTCTAGCCGGTTTTCGATCGCATGATGGAATGCTGTTCCGTAGATACGCAGGCTATTTCGATAATCTGTGATAATGAAGATCAGTCGACTGAACTTTGTAACAGCTTAAGACTTACATACAAAGATCATAGAGACAACGGAGCGCGAACAGCACGATGTGTCAAAGTAGAGTTAACGTTGGTCATGTCTATGATATGACCACACTGAGACAGCCTCACGCGGTTAAACCAGTGAGGAGGGGGCACGCAGAAGCACTCCAACCACAACAATTGCAAGAAAGTGACTGCAGATACTCACAACCTGCGTCAGTTCAAAGAAGACGGTCGGTGATCCGCAGTTCACGCTGTAGATAATGGGACAAAGAATGGGAGCCACAAGAGTGAGGCACGGAGTGAAAGAAGCGGAGCTCTCAGCTAAGGAAAGACCGGGCCACAATGAATAGGCGCATCAGTAGATTACCAAGATAGAAAACGTATAGTAGGAGACCAAGTGCGATAAGCATGCGGTGAAAGTGGGGTAAGCTGAAGTCGAGACATTGGAAGCAGATATAATTACATATCAACAGGAAAATGACGCGACACGTATATAAAAGTTCAATACCAGCGGTCACCTATCTGCCGTGGCTGGGATTAAGGTCACTGGCGAAGGACAACTTCAAAGTGAACGACTGCGGGAGTTCATGAGTGGCGATGGTGTGGTGATTCAAAATGGTCAGGGCCATTAAAGCATCAGATTCTTTATCCCACTGAATCAAACCAGATGAGGTGCGCCCGTTGTTTTTCGAGTAAGGTATCATTTCGCTGGAAACGAAAAGAAAGATGAAGCAGTTAAAATAAAAGTAGACGATAACAAATTGGACGAAACGCAGAAAATGGTGAATCGGGAGGGAGATATAACTCCGGCAGTTCAAGTGATGACCAGGTAACAAACGGTCGCGTTGGTGTAGATGAGAAATAGAAGGCTGGTCCACAGATTATACCGTCTATGAAGGTGAAACTTAATTTGAACCGATAGAATAACGTTATGTGCATCCTGTCGAAGAGACAGACCAACTATGGGTGAATCAGTAGGATGTGTGGAGCATGAGAACCAACAGTGCATAATCAGGTAGTGTGATGTGGAGCACGAAACACATAAACCAAGCCCAATGTTTGGATGAGAAAATGTAACGTACGTTGGTGAGGGCACATCCAATTCAGCACAGATAGCTCGGATATCATCCAGACAGAATGAAAGAGGACAATTCCAGTAATGCAGGGCCATGGAAGGTTTGAGTGAGCGATTCTTTGCGATCGGCTGCGATGGAGAGTAACGGTTGTTAATGCTTTGAGAAAAGTCTTTGAAGGATGGAGAGCCGTCGGGAAGGTCAAAGGGATGTGGAACGTCCATAATGCTGATTTGCTTGCTGGGTCGGATCTATAAAGGAGCATAACTCAAAGCCAATTGAAGGTGTAAAAAACTCGATTTTATAAGCAACAGAGAAAGCACTACCCTGGATGCTGCGACACAACGAGAATAGAGGAGTATGATCAATCGGAATGTTAAGTGAACCCCTGCTCTAACACTTAAATCCCGTGAATCTGACACGATATGAAAATAAAGGTTGAAATGTCACCAAATTGTTTTGCGTTTTCCGAGGCAGTCACGAGAACGTCTATCTCCGTAATAACGCAGACTTGTCGATTATTTTACTAGACGCTGCAATGGCTCGTTTGAGAAATTCCCGGATCTAAACACGGAAGTCGTTTCAAACCCGTGCCGGAAGGTCAGAAGATGCGGTGTGCGCTCTGCATGATTTCTAATGTACGATTTGGTCACAAAAAGGATGGAACACTATTCGATTTTTGGTAATCGCTAGCATGTTGGGGGAGGGTCAAGAATCGGGGGTTGAAAGCTAACTAGAAGCCGACCTCAGTGGCATTCGTGCTGAGTTTTTTTGTCCCTCCCCGTCCAACCACGATCTCCTTTCGTAGCATAGTATGATTTTACATAGTAATATTTTTTGTTGCCTAGTAGCCGGCTAGTAGCTTTCCGGAACCATGCCTATCCGTTGCTGGTAGCTCAGCTGGCATGCAAGCGTTGCATTTTTTCTTTTATGTATTGCGGCACAGTAGCTGAGGTGTTTTACACCTCTAGCTAACGTGTCTAAGGATGATGATGAGTCGCTAGCATAGACCAACTAACTGTCACATACTGCCGTGATATAGAATGGTTGCTTCGGTCTGTGGAAGAGTCGCGAGGTGAGGGCTGCTGGATGCGAATGCGTAATAAGTGCGCCAGTATTCGGAAGTAATAGACACCACTTTACGTAAGCAGTCATGTCCAATCACAGATGTCATGGTCATCAGCTCGGTGAGCGAATCTACACCTCAGCAACCAGTCCGAACTACTGGTATTTCGGACTGGCTGCTGAGGTGCAGATTCGCTCGTCGAGCTGGGTATCCTAACCGTGGATGTTTCATCACCACTCAGAGTGAGGTCTTCAGCACGTAACAGTAAGTAGCTTCGTGCGAGGAGACGAGTCTTTAGGAGACGGATTAGTCTTCGGAATTACATCAAGCGAGGATACTACTACGCAATGAAGACAGTATTCGCGGGAGATGGCGCACCGCTCCCTACCTTGGCGAAAAATACGAACGCTCCAGCTATTCACTCAGCTTGCATAGCTCGGTTGAGCAATGCTGTGGATTACTGAAGCCTGTAGAAGTGGAAAGCATATAGCCCTTCCAGAGATAAGCGACGCATCAGGGGAATGGAAGAGAGACTAAATGGATAAGTTTTACTGATTTGTAGCAGCTGAGAAGAACCAGCATCATTAGTTATCAACTAGATAATCGCCGGAAATGAAAAGCGAATCTTGGGAGACTGAATCAGTAGATGTCGGTGTTGCAAATTCGCTTCTGATGTTTTCGTATCAGGATGATAATAAGACTTTTATATGTTTACCATCAAGTACAGTGGATCGAGCAACTTGACAAGCGGTGGTCAAGCCACATAGTAAAGAAGTACTTCAATCACCAATAGGTAAAAACGAGCGGTCATCATCGCGCCTTGACCACGTTTATGATCTATGAGCTAACACAACCTATCGTAGACAGATAAGCTACTATTCTCCCATATACCATGTAGAACAGATGTTTTAAAAAGCTAAACGGGTGTTACTGATAAGCACAATGACCTCTTCGACGTGGCTACCCAAATAAATGAAGCGACTAACAGCTTAGAGTTGCTATCCGGTAATGGTGAGGGTTGGCGGTCTGTTAAGTCGGTCCTGCTACAGATGTTGGTGCTTGCGGACACGAACGGCAAACATGAAATACACAGCACATAGAGCAACACTGCCATAGCAGCTGGGTCGGAGCAGCAGGTCGGAGATAAATAACTTTTCGTTCTTTATGGGTATCAGGCGGTCAACATACAGAACCAGTATAAAGTACCAGAAGTGACAAAGGAACTTGTCGTCATTCGGATCGCAAAGTTTAGAGGAAAGAGAACACAGGGTAGCCATGACAATCTACACTGTCCCAAGAATCGTAGACTAGTAAATTAGTAGCGGAATGAGAAGTAGTGAGCTTTCGGTACTACTCGCTACAGATCCCGATGTGTTCTCAGTGGTTTTAATGGATGAGAAGAACTTCAAAGTAAACCTTCATCAAAACTGAGAAAATGTGTGAATTAGTACAAACACAACGAGGGTTCTCCAAAGGCTGACAAAGAATGGATCGAGGTTTGCCTGACATGCCACTCAAAGAAGGCATCAAAAATAAGTGCGATCAAGTAAAGCGAAAGTGATCATCAGCATGATGAGCCGAAGCGTGTGCGTGGGTACCCAACGCAAAACAATAAAGTAACGCTTGCACACCAGCCTAGTCCAGACAAGAGGAAGCACTAGGGACAGCTAATAACGAACACATGGATCACGAAGTTGAAGACAGGGTGACGGTGGTGCGGACCAAGCTAAGCTGACAAGAGAGGAGAGCCTGGCATAAATCAGCATACAGGCACTTCTACTTGCTCTTAAATACAGAGGTCACGGAAAGCAAATCTGGAGATGCTAAGTTCCTTGGGGCGAGCTTCGAAGAACGGCAGTGAAAAAAACTGGTGAGAGAAACTGGAACATAGGCGACACAGTCCGGAAGCGTACAGGCAACATGATATCAACATACCATTGGTGTTGTGGAGTTTAAGCGAAATCTTACAGATACAACGCCTAACTGTTTAACCAAGGAGCCTGAGCTACTTATAACTGCTAGTCAGTCTCCCTAATTAAAGGCTTTTTTGGAACAGTGACTAAGTAAGGTTGAAACGGTATACGACTATTCAGAACAGCACCAATCCTCTTCATGTTATCTTTCTAGGAAATCTAACAACAATGGAGATCAATCTGGAGTATCTTAGTCAGATACCAACACAGCGCTACAGACCATAAAAATGACCTCCCAACGGAACTAACCTGAGTGAATCTTCGAAGATCATTCCACGGTTCGAAGCTCTTGCGATGGAATGATAATCGGTTACAAGTGCCTTACTCCAAGCGCTTTTGGAGTGATTACACTCAGCATTTTACTCATCCACCTCACAAGCTAATGACAGATTACTAGCTAATTCGGATCGACATAGTTGCGTGGACTCCGGATTCAAATGAGTAGCGATAAATATCGAACCTGGACGCCTCGCCGCGAGGACGCACGATACAAAACGCTGTGTGGTCAAGAGTGGACGATAGGCTTGCACACACGTGTGTCATCCGTGGCAGTATGGATAACTTGGGTTTGCAGCATCGGTTAGTTTAGAACTTACTAAGTGACGTGACGCGAATCTCTGAGTTAAACGATGTTGCAGAAACTATCATGCGTAGAGCCACAAGCGTTGGTTGTTAAACGGCCTTCGAGTCAGCGATCGGGATTCGATGACATTCCTATCACTTGCAACAACCACAATAAGTGGAGTTCTGGTGAGGCAGACGAGGATCAAGGTTGCCAACATAATTCGTCTTTTATGGCCGCTCTAACCGCAGTCGATTGGTGAATTAGCGGAAGCAAGTAGTGTCTTCAAACCGCGCCTACTAACTCTGAGAAGTATCTGAGGTCAAACCACAAATACCAGATTATTCACTGGAATCCAACAGCGCGCATTGCCTTTGGCACTTCTGCTGAGAACAATATACACAGCACGAATAACTCGCGCTATCGACTCGGAGACGCCATAAACACTAAAAATGTAACCGATGGCAACAAAAGCTGAGTCAGACAGTTAAAGATTCAGCGCCTCTATATTATATGTTCCGAAGGCGCAGCACATTTCACTTGTAAAGCAATGCGGAAGGGGTTGAAATTGCATGCAAGACGATCCGATATGGAGTGCAAACAAAAAAGAAAAAATCAGTGGGACTTGGATGTGGAGGACGAGTTAGTTATGGTGTTGGCGTGCTTTAAAACACCGATTATAGTCCCACAAGCTAAGAACTGAAGAGACTGAAAAGGAAGGGGAAGGAGAGAAGAGGGTCGGAAAAAGAAGCTACATGGGCATACGGTATTCTAGGTTTCACCATCACAAGAACGGAGTTCTGTTAGTGACTATTCAGCCCGAAGCATGATTGCATAGCTGATTCACCGGGTGACGGGGTGAACTCAGACGATGCCAACGATTCAGTTCAGTTGGATTGATCAACTAAGACCCGGACACCGAGGTGCGGTGGATCCAGTTGCCAGGTTAAAGGCAAATAGAATGTAAAGAAAATGGAAGAAAAAGGTGCATTAAATTATTTAAAATGGAACAAAAGTCAGCAACTCCATTCAACAAAGCGAATGCAGAAACGCCACTGACTGCATGACTACGCCACATTTGATAGCGTTCCAAAGATTCGTGTGGACCATACTGAGACACCCATGCACGAAGATGGCACGCACCAACCTGACCAAGTCTCACAGTCAATTTCTTCACACATTTATGTCACATCATGGGCTGGCCACTTCGCGGTTCCACCCAACTTGGTGCAGCCACGGCGTGTAATGCACGCCGGTCAACGGGCATACGTGGAACATGGCCTAGCCAACGTAAGCGATAAAGATTCAGCATACACTTCAGTGAGGCACCAGAAGGCTTCTTGCCAAAAACCAACCGGCGGATCTCAGCACTGCTCACCCAATGTTTTCACTAGAGGTGAGCAATGCTCCGCAAGCACCGGTGGTCCAACACGGCCAAAGGTTTAATGTCTTGCGCGAACTGGCCAGCTCTCTGATCCATGCAATAACATCGGCCTTACCGCAGCGTTATACATTCTACCTTCCACTGACACGCTGAAGTCCCGCCGCCTCGATAGATGGTCGAGCCGTCTCTGCACGAATCGTGTCCGACGTTACTGGCAACTCCCTTACACTGTCAAACAGGATGAGCTCAATTTCCGACTCGAATTT